TTTAAAAGAATAATTAAAGACTAATCAATTAAGTCAAAAATCAAAATAAAGCATTGTAGTCTTAAGTGTGTAAAACTTCATGCTGTGAAGTGAAATTTACCAGACCAGACAGGCGATTTTTACATTCATTCTCCTCTCTGTTGTTCCATTTGTAGATCATTAAAATAAGATTGTTCCTGATCAAAATCACACTGTTAGATATGACTGTAATAATATATTTTCTAAATTATATTTTGTAGCAGAAACCAAGTTTTAGAAAGTAAAAAAAACAACAAATTTATGCTAGTAAGAATTTTATACTCTTACTAGTTTTATATTCCTCGAAATGTTTGCACATTTTATGTGGCTGTTTTGACATTTATCAGCTTGACTGAATATGTGTTTATATCTCAAATACATTTTTTCATAGTTAAAATAATACAAATGCTGACCAGTAATATTTGGAATATGGAGATCTGAAATTTGTTTCTAGAAATCCAGAATGATTATTCTAGATGTGGAGAATGTCATTTTGTTTGAATGGTTATTTTGACAAGGAAAAAATGTTTTTTGAAATATCAGGGAATACGTATTCAGTAAACTTAGTACATATCAAAACAGCTTGGCATAGCCTGTTGTGACAGCCATATTATTATGGGATTATTTCTTGAATGCTAGTAGATCAATGTACTATTTAGGTGAAATCTTCTGGCAGCAGGTGAGGATGAAGAATAAACACTTTGTTCTAATATATATAACCTGTGCATCATCCCATGGGTTCCTCCTCAGGTTGATTCAGTCTTCTTTTACACAGTAAATACTAAGTGGCTGTTTGTACTTAGTATTTTGGATGTTATCATCCTAATAAATAGTCGTTATTAGCGGCTATCAGACCCATAGAATGCCCTCAGATTGTGTCAGTAGGCTCATTAGGTTGTCATCATTGAGTGAATCCTAATCCTAACCCTAGATTAATTCCTTTTCCCCATAGAATTAATTAATCTATTTATGTTTAATCTGAAAATAATTTCAATGATTTTCATGTAATGTAAATATAACTAAATAAACATAAAAGGATTCGTATGTCGCTCATATTTAACAAACCAAAAACAAGTAATCTCATGTTCTCTGAACTGATTTTTAGAATCCAGTCCCAAAAAACTTGAATTCTCTGTGAAAAAGTGTAGATCAATCTTTAATAAGATTCTCTGAAACAATACAGCACATAACAGCAGGGTGTAGAATGCAGGCAGGAAGTGCAGACATGGAACGCCACAACCAAGTAGCTGTCATAGTGTACAGGAACATCTGCCATGAGTATGGGCTGGAAGTCCCAAGGTCAAAATGGAAGACACCTCCTAAGGTAGTTGAGAATGACCGAGCTAAGATCCTATGGGACTTCAAGATCCAGACTGACAAACAGGTGATGGCTAACCAACCAGACATCGTGTTGGTCGACAAACAGCAGAAGAAGGCAGTAGTGATAGATGTGGCAATCCCAAGCGACAGCAACATCAAGAAGAAAGAACACGAGAAGCTTGAGAAATACCAAGGACTGAAGGAGGAGCTAGAAAAGATGTGGAAAGTAAGAGCAGCAGTGGTGCCAGTGGTAATTGGAGCACTGGGGGCTGTGACCCCCAAACTGGGAGAGTGGCTACAGCAGATTCCAGGTAAAACATCAGAGGTCTCTGTCCAGAAGAGCGCAGTCCTAGGAACAGCTAAGATACTGCGCAGAACCCTCAAACTCCCAGGCCTCTGGTAGAGGACCCGAGCTTTAGGATGACACATACCCCCCCACGAGGGGTGAGAAAATAGTTTATATATACACTATATTGCCAAAAGTATTTGCTCACCCATCCAAATTATTGGAATCAGGTGTTCCAATCACTTCCATGGCCACAGGTGTATAAATTCAAGCACCTAGGCATGCAGACTGTTTTTACAAACATTTGTGAAAGAATGGGTCGCTCTCAGGAGCTCAGTGAATTCCAGCGTGGAACTGTGATAGGATGCCACCTGTGCAACAAATCCAGTCGTGAAATTTCCTCGCTCCTAAATATTCCACAGTCAACTGTCAGCTGTATTATAAGAAAATGGAAGTGTTTGGGAACGACAGCAACTCAGCCACGAAGTGGTAGGCCACGTAAACTGACGGAGCGGGGTCAGCGGATGCTGACGCGCATAGTGCGAAGAGGTCGCCAACTTTCTGCAGAGTCAATCACTACAGACCTCCAAACTTCATGTGGCCTTCAGATTAGCTCAAGAACAGTGCGCAGAGAGCTTCATGGAATGGGTTTCCATGGTCGAGCAGCTGCATCCAAGCCATACATCACCAAGTGCAATGCAAAGCGTCGGATGCGGTGGTGTAAAGCACGCCGCCACTGGACTCTAGAGCAGTGGAGACGCGTTCTCTGGAGTGACGAATCGCGCTTCTCCATCTGGCAATCTGATGGACGGGTCTGGGTTTGGCGGTTGCCAGGAGAACGGTACTTGTCTGACTGCATTGTGCCAAGTGTAAAGTTTGGTGGAGGGGGGATTATGGTGTGGGGTTGTTTTTCAGGAGCTGGGCTTGGCCCCTTAGTTCCAGTGAAAGGAACTCTGAATGCTTCAGCATACCAAGACATTTTGGACAATTCCATGCTCTCAACTTTGTGGGAACAGTTTGGAGCTGGCCCCTTCCTCTTCCAACATGACTGTGCACCAGTGCACAAAGCAAGGTCCATAAAGACATGGATGACAGAGTCTGGTGTGGATGAACTTGACTGGCCTGCACAGAGTCCTGACCTCAACCCGATAGAACACCTTTGGGATGAATTAGAGCGGAGACTGAGAGCCAGGCCTTCTCGTCCAACATCAGTGTGCGACCTCACAAATGCGCTTCTGGAAGAATGGTCAAAAATTCCCATAAACACACTCCTAAACCTTGTGGACAGCCTTCCCAGAAGAGTTGAAGCTGTTCTAGCTGCAAAGGGTGGACCGACGTCATATTGAACCCTATGGATTAGGAACGGGATGTCACTTAAGCTCATATGTGAGTCAAGGCAGGTGAGCAAATACTTTTGGCAATATAGTGTATATATATATATATATATATATATATATATATATATATATATATATACAGTACTCAAAAAAAATAAAGGAACACTCTGTAATCAGAGTATAGCATCAAGTTATTTAAACTTCTGGGGTATTGGTTTGGTCAGGTAAGTAGCAGAGGGGGTTGTTAATCAGTTTCAGCTGCTTTGGTGTTAATGAAATTACCAACAGGTGCACTAGAGGAACAACAATGAGACGACCATCAAAACAGGAATGGTTTTACAGGTGAAGGCCATTGCCTTTTTTTCCCTCCTCATCTTTTCTTAATCTTTTTCATCAGTTTTGCATTTGGCTAGGGTCACTGTCACTACTGTTAGCATGAGGAGCTACCTGGACCCTAAAGAGGTTGCACAGGCAGTCCAACTCCTCCAGGATGGCGCAACAATACGTGTCATTACCAGAAGGTTTGCTGTGTCTCCCAGTACAATCTCAAGAGCATGGAGGATATTCCAGGTGACAGGCAGTTACTCCAGGAGAGCTGGACAGGGCTGTAGAAGGTCTACAACCCATCAGCAGGACAGATATCTGCTCCTTTGTGCAAGGAGGAGCAGGAGGAGCACTGCCAGAGCCCTACAAAATGACCTCCAGCAGGCCACTGGTGTAAATGTCTCTGACCAAACAATCAGAAACAGACTTCTCGAGGCTGGCTTGAGGGCCCCAAGTCCTCTAGTGGGCCCTGTGCTCACTGCCCGGCACCGTGGAGCTTGATTGGAATTTGCCACAGAACACCGGAATTGGCTAGTGCGCCACTGGCGCCCTGTGCTTTTTACAGATGAGAGCAGGTTCACCCTGAGCACATGTGACAGACATGAAAGGGTCTGGAGAAGCTGTGGAGAACGTTATGCTGCCTGTAACATTGTTCAGCATTACCGGTTTGGTGGTGGGTCAGTGATGTTCTGGGGAGGCATATCCATGGAGGGACGCACAGACCTATACAGACTAGACAACAGCACCCTGACTGCCATTAGGTATCGGGATGAAATCCTTGCACCCATTGTCAGACCCTATGCTGATGCAGTGGGTCCTGGGTTCCTCCTGGTGCACGACAATGCCCATCCTCATGTGGCGAGAGTATGCAGGCAGTCCCTGGATGAAGGAATTGATACCATTGATTGGCCCCCCACGCTTGCCTGACCTAAATCCAATAGAACACCTCTGGGACATTATGTTTCCATCCATCCGACGCCGCCAGGTTGCACCTCAGACTGTCCAGGAGCTCAGTGATGCCCTGGTCCAGATCTGGGAGGAGATACCCCAGGACGCCATCCGTCGTCTCATTAGGAGCATGCCACAACTTTGTCTGGCATGCATACATGCAGGGGCGGATCTAGAAAAAGGTGGTTTTTGAGGGGTGGCAACATATGGCATTTGTTTGCACTGAGTTTAATCACAGTTATCACTGGTGAGAATAGTATGTACAGTAAGTGTTTCATGTGAAACGGTTCATATTAGAAATACATCATACAATGAGATCTCACTTAATAGGAGATAGAAGAAGGATAACACTACTTCTAGAGGGGCCTTATCACAGGAAAGGTATTAAGGTATGACACAGGTGCTGAGTCGCAGATGAGTGAGATTGACTGTCAGAGAGGCAGCTTTGCAGCATTTGCACAAGAAGAAACTATAGAAAGAAAAAGTTTCCCATCAGAGATCTATGGACTGAGCTGGACTAAAGTGAGCAGAACTACACAGTAGAAATAAATGGGTCAAGGCACCCAAACAAGGTACCAGACATCTATGTATTGTTTACTCTGAACACACATTTACCCCATTTGTTCCTCAGTAACTTGACATACAGCAGTTAAGGCAACATGAAGGGAACATTTCATCCATGTAAATATGCTGTAGATAGAGCTGCTGTATCAACAAATCAACAAAAGGCAGGTACTGTATGTTACATCAAAATCTCCACAAATCTGAAAAGTAGCAACATAAAAATACATTTTGCTTGTGAGTAGGTTCATACAGGTCATTTCTGGATAGTTTCATACTATATAAAAAAAAAAAGAAACAACACGGCTTCATATTAAGCAGGATTTACACCAGTATCACATTTTTAACTATATTTTTAACACTTTTGGTTTTATTAAAGGAAATATCAGATTTTCTCAGGTGCCAAAACAAAATGTAGCAGCTCTGTAAAGGCTCACCAGAGAGCATAACATAAAGTTAACATGACTATAATAGCTGAAAGCGGTGATTTCCATGTTGCTCAGCAAAACGCTTCACACTTTTATCTAGATCCAATGCCTTTGTGCATTTTGATTTGAGTACAGCCAAACGTGATAGTCTCTTTTCTGTCATAGTTGACCGCAAATATGTCTTTATGAGGCTGAGACGTCAGGCCTAACTAACTTCATAGATAGAGAAATAACGTTCTGCAACCTGATTTTTATCATCTAAAATCAGCACTGCAGCTATGCTATGTACAGTGTGCTTTCATTATGGTTTAATTTCTCGATAGATAGTTAATCAGTTTTTACCTGTTTCATCCCGTGTCTCATTTCCACATGACCCCTGGCTCCCTCGCTTTGCCCTATTTGGTTACCCCAGTAGATCTGCCTATGCATGCATGCAAGTGGGGGCCATACAAATTACTGAATACTATTTTGAGTTGCTGCAATTAAATTTCAGCAAAATGGACTAGCCTGCCGCATCATTTTTTCACTGTAATTTTTGGCGTGTCTTTGAATTCAGCCCTCTGTAGGTTGATAATTGTCATTTCCATCAAATGATGTTTCTTTTTGTTCCTAACACATCACCCAGTCCATATCAGTATAAATAAAAAGCATGATTTTTTTCCTCATTGAGATCTGATGTGTTTCCAAAGTGTTAATTTAATTGTTTTGAGCAGTATATATATATATATATATATATATATATATATATATATATAGACGATAGACAATGGTGAGACCTCGTTTCACTAAAGATTTTCTTTTGTTTACAGGTGATGATTTCCTGTTGCTGTTCCATCTGTGAGATGGTGTCTGTCGTTAAAGAAAACTCCTGCTGTGATTTAAAAAAAATGAACCTCCGAGGAAGTAAAGTAGCAACTGCCTTTCTGCTGGTAAATATGCTTGTTGCACTAATCTGACAAATGTCTTATACTGAGTGACCATGGGAAGCAGAGGTTTAAAATCTCGTAACCACACATTAAGGGTAGCAGGTACAAGTCTACCAATGGGAGTTTTTAATCCAACTCCTGTAAGGTATTTATCAAAACTTTTTAAAATACAGTTAAAAAACATTAGGTAGGGAGCAATATCACAAAAAAAAAAAAAAAAAAAAAACTAACAAATCTCCAGAATGCTTAATTGTTCTTTTTTATGAAGTTAAAGCCTCAGTCTAAAACTGATGCCAAACCAGCCACAACTAAATTTGTAACATTTGCCACTGAAGTTACATGTTGTTACTATAGATCTTTCTCTTAAGGTGAGCAGGACGTGAGGTCTTACGATGATATGCACTAGCATTATTTTATCTTTCCCTTTTCTTGTTTTTGAATCACTACTTTTTTCAGAATGTGTTTGTTTAGTTGATGCATAAGAAGTGATGTGGGAGTCATGTCACAGGAGAACAGCAGGGTTAACACTAGAAAACCCAGAGATACGAGAATTTTCGTTAGCCACCAGTCCCCCCAACAGTACTTCATAACTCATGAATCCCTTTTCAGATGTCAATGCCCATTAGCGCTGTGGCTGGAGAACCATTCCACCCCCTTCAGTTTCGGTTTCAGCTAAAGTCTCTCTCTTTGAGACTGTTTCACCTGAGAGCCTGGAGGGGGGGGGATCCTATTTTTAATTAAATATAACTAGGTCTACGTCATCAGTGTCGCCAACACCGCAATGATTTCAGTGCAGCCACCAGCGCAGCGATAAGACAATAACCGATCTGTACAATCAAAATAGCTGCATGAGCTGGAACGCTGTAGAAAGCAGCAATATTTATACAATAACGACCATTTATACGATAATAAGCATTATTTATTTGGGGGGAAATATAACTCAAGCGATCTCTCTCTCCCCTCTCCTCCGTTGCAGCCGTGCAAACAGCATCGTGAAACTGCAGTAAAGTTGCAATATATTCACAGATTCCGCTTTTCCAGATTAATAACTCGTCAGCAGATGATTAATTCTACAAAACAGACACCTCTCTGCAACCACAGCAAGGCAGACAGTGAGCTACAACCGTAGTTTCCTCAAAACGAGTCTCCTATCGCGCTGGGAGAATTACATTGGACCCTATTGGGAGCTCACTGCTCCGCAAATGCTTAGGGACCATCTGCAAGTTGCAAAATAATCAGAGAGAAATATTCAAAAGCGTCACCAAGGAGAGGTGGATTATTATAACATTTATTGGATTCAATGGCACCTCTGTTCTATTATTAGAATAAGTATAAAATGAGCAATGACTACACTATAGATCAGGGGTCTTCAACGTTTCCCAGGCTAAGGACCCCCAAACTGATGGCGAGATGGGAGCCGGGACCCCCTAATTATACATATTGTATGAAATTGTGTTATATCAAGTTGGTGCTATGGTCACTCTATTAAAAATGGTGTCATGTAAAGAAAGTAGTTTCACCCTGGGATTATTAAAGTATTTCTGATTCTGATTCCTGGTTGATGGGACAGGTGTTGTGAATGAAACGGTGCCCAGCTTGAAAGAGCTCCTGTGTGTCGCTGAATGTGTGCATTGATGACTGAAAGACATCTTCTGCCTCCATTTATCTGTTTACTACAGTGTGTTAAATTCATGTTAATGTGTATTTAAACACATTTCAATTAGTAGAAAAATTGCAGGGGAAATATATATATAAAAAAAAAAAAGTAATCAACCAAACCTTTCACGACCCCCATGCAGTACCCCTATGGACCCCCTAGGGGTCGCGGACCCCCTGTTGAAGACCTCTGCTATAGATCACTGTACTGCCTCCAAACTTGTAGGATACACAGATAACCTCATCTGGATCATACTACAACACTTACTTTTTTTGGAGATTTATTCATTGTTATTACAAGCACATATTAGCCAATAATTACACTATAGATCATTGTAGTGCCACCAAACGTAGATAACCTCATCTAGTTCACACTACAACTCTTACTTTGGGAAAATGTGCTAAATTTAATTTTTTTAGATTTTTCATTGCTATTATAAGAATATAAAAGCCAATAATTACTTATGATTTAGACAGATTTATTTTGTCATTTTGTATACACAAGTGTAAACAAAAAGAAATTTAGTTTAGAACAGCTCTAGATAATTTCATATCTTAAAGTGCAGCCTTGAAAACACTAATACCGTAAATTCTCTAATATTGGCCTGTATTCCAATAGCGACCGGGACTCTAACATTGGCCGGTCTCGCTGTCAGAGGAGCAGTGGTGTCAAAAGTTCACACATTTGTTACTTAAGTAGAAGTATAGATACTGCAGTTTAAAAACACTCTGGTAAAAGTAGAAGTAGCAAGTTGACCTCTTTACTCGAGTAAAAGTGAAAAAGTATGTGCTTCAAAAACTACTTAAAGTATAAAAGTATAAAGTAACCTTTAAAAAAAACAGCCAGATGCCGCTATATGAACTGAAAGCTCAATGTTTCGACTATTTGTAAAAATTCTTTGAGATATTGCCAAGGATGAGGAAGGTCTTGTTGGTCTCCATCTCCCGATACGCTCTCGCCTGTGTCCGACCTTTCAGACATTTCAACATCTTTTTCTGAATCCAACATTGTAGCATGGCATAGACAATTCACGTTAGCAGTTTGAAGAACACCTGCTTGCTTCTGATGGTTTCCTTTAGCTAACCAATGAGTGTTTGCGTTCTATGACTCATCCAATCACACTAGTTTTCACTAGATGTGGATGGAGCCAATGATCTGCATTGGATGGAGCACATGACGGGAAATAAATATTTAGAAACATTAAACCAGGGGAAACCAATAAAAAAATCAGTGGGTCTGAATAAAGAAAATCATCAACCAGTAAAGGTCTGGAGACATTTTTAATGATCTGTTACTTTAAACAGAATTTAACACTGAAACAAAATGAGGTATTTATGCATTAATGTTATACATAAAATTTTTAAATTGAAAAAAAAAAAAGAAATTGCCAAAAATTGCATCCTGTGCTATCTCAGAGGAGTTGACGCTTGTATGACTGTTCCTATACATCCATCAGTAGTTAAAGGTCAAGGGTCAGCAAATGCTAGTTCTGCCTGTAAAGCAATGACAGCGTAATTGTCACTGTCTGATCTGAAGCCTCATTTGGAGCTTCTAAACTGGCTTTTGAAAAACTAGCAGATGTGCATCATAAAAAAAACAGAAATACAATTATAGAGCATTCAGTATTATAAAAAAAAAAAAGCCGTTTATGTATCTTTCCTTTAAAATATGAAATGTCCCATGCTCCTGAATGCACCATAGCTATCGGACGCTCGCGAATGCATCACACTGGTCTGTGAACGCTGTGCTGTCACGTCGGCATCACTGTTTATTGTTGTGTGTGAAAAGCAAGAGACTACAACAAATAAATCAGCCGTTCCTCGGACAAAAGCTTTGGATTTAATGTTGTTCATAACACCCATATATTTTTTAAATGAATCTTCTAAATAACCACAAATGTTTTCCCCACGAGAGGAATATTTAAACGTTTTTATATCATTAATAAAACAACAAGTAGCTAAATTGGTCATAGTTTAATCCGTTTCCCTCGTTGATATGTGGTTGTACAGAGCGAGGCGCGCTCCCGCTACTGGGGATGCATGTTCCTGCAGGGATGCACTTTTCCGCATAACACCGGTCCGCTAATCCGTGACCTCTGCATTAAACCGAAGCCAAAAGTAACGAGTAACGATTGTTTTAAAAATGTAAGGAATAGAAAATACAGATACTCGTGTGAAAATGTAATAAGTAGAAGTCAGAAGTATGAAGAAAAATAAGTAATGGAGTAAAGTATAGATACCTAAAAAGTGTACTTAAGTACAGTAACGAAGTATTTGTACTTCGTTACTTGACACCTCTGCAGAGGAGGTAAATAATGGCCGGTCTCTAATACAGGCCGGGGCTATAAACGTTTTTTTCTGGGCATACCTCAACATTATACTTGTGGTAGTAACATACAAGTACCACAGCCCTGCGCAGCTGAACGACAGGCCCTGCTGCTGCCCGTCTGCGCGAGGAAGAGAACAGACACGCAGCAGAACAGGAGGAGCGCGAGTGATGAGGAGATTAAAGGGAGGAGAATTAAACAGAATTGGAGGATTTTTTTTTTTTTTTACTTCAAACCAAGCGAGACATGGTAACTGTACTTTTTCAATAAATGAACCTAGTGTTTTATAGGTTCAAATAGACACAAAATCTCATTTTTATTCATTCCACTGGTAGTCTGTTTTGCTCAAATAGCAATAGAGGCCTGTCTCTAATTCTGGCCTCTATCCAATAAAGGCCTGGACCGCGATGCACTTGAGTGAAATAAAGGCCCGGGCCTATATTAGAGAATTTACGGTAAATACATAAAAAATAATTATATAAACATATGACTGTATATTTATAGTTCTAACATTCTTTTTTTTCTTACTTTGGGAAGATAGGCCAAACTGTATTTTTGGAGATTTATTCATTGTTATTATAAGCATATAATAGCCAATAATTACACTATAGATCATTGTAGTACCACCAAACTTGTAGCACACATAGATAGCCTCATCTAGTTCATACTACAACTCTTACTTTGGGAAAATGTGCTAAATTAAATTTTTTATATTTTTTCATTGTTATTATAAGCAGGCCAGGTGTGCAATCTCTGCAACAGGAACCACAGCACTGAGCGTTGTGTTCACTGCACAAAGTATACCTGTCACAAATGAAGGAATTGTAGCTTCATATGTATTCATTCTTATTGGAAAAGCATGGTTATGACCTGTTCTCAGCTCAGGAAATAGGATCCGTATGATATCTGCTTGTTCAATAGGTTTGCCTAAATAAAAGATTTAGATATGACTTAAAGATATTCCTGCAAAAAGGTCTGATGTTACAGGGGCAGGTAATGAAAAGTGTTTGGAGCATGCTCTGGTTCTGATGCCAGTAGAAGGGCTGCTCACATCCCAGATTATTTGCATTACAAAAAGGACAGCAACAGGTAGAGTGAATACACAAACTTGTAGAGGGGAGGGGGGCTTGCAGGAAAACTGGAATTCTCCGGGACATCTAGTGTTAATGTAACTTTACACATTTGTTCACTTTATATAGAGAAGGATTATTCTGTATCTGAAAATATGTCTGTTTACATCTACTGCTGAATTTACTAAAAGTGTTGAAATGAATTTTCTTCACAGATGATTTTAATTCCATCTATGAATTGTAGCCTCAAGAGATGTCATATTACAGAGTACAAAGTTGGACACGGATGCTGCACTGTGTGCCCTACTGGTAAGACTCAACAAGATAAAACTATTTCTGCTTTTTCCTTTTTCTCCTTTAATCAATCATATACTTCAGAGTTTAAGTATTCTTCTATGCTGTCAGATGATTTGAGAATCACTCATAAAGCCTTGATTTAACTTTGACTGTCTTCTAAAATATGTAAACTCTATACACAGAATATGCAGACTGTAATTCTTAAGGCAAGATAATATTTTTTCAGGATCCTAAATTATTTATAGTTCACATGTTAAAAGGTGAGACAAATAAAAACAAGAAATCCATAAGACAGGATTGTTATAGATAAAAGTATTTCTTACTTGTTTCTATCAAAAAAGTTTAAATTAGCTTTTAAAGTAATAAAAAAAAAAGTAAAAATTATGTTTTTAAACCGGAAGGCATATCCAATGATGTAAACGAAACATTATTTAGTAATATTATATTTTAAACTTTTATAAATGTTTTTAAAGGGGAAGGTGTTTTTTTATATTGGGCCCTTGATTTTACGTTATTACATCATGTTATATTATATTAATATTATTATAAAATTATAGTTTTTATATTTATATCTTTTTAAAACAAAGCAGCGCGTGTATGACGTCATCCACGCGCGCTGGCTACCATTACTTTATCCTGTCCGCTGAACTGCTGCTAGTTTTCCTCACATGTCTGGAAGATGTCTAGTGCTGCTACCACAGATGTTCTCGCTCTCCAAATGGAATTGAACGATTCAGAGTAGCTAGGATGAATAGAAGAGGTAGAGCGTAGCCGCCTGTGGCCCGGGGTGCCTGTTACGACTCCAGTCTGGCACACGGATGACGTCATATACGCTCCGCTTTGTTTAAAAAATATATAAATATAAAAAATATAACCGCGGATGTCTGGTGGACAGTGATTCTCCTACATGTTATGAATGCTGGCATACCATAAATGATTAATGATGAACAGTTTAGTTTGTGCCTTCAAGTCGTTGCCCATAGGAAGACGTTACTTGGATATAACCTAACTGAATATCTTCAGAACGGCTGCAAATGACACAAAACTCATATTAGTGAGTAGAACATGATGAAATAACGTAAAATCAAGGGCCCAATGTAAAAATAAACGGTGTTCCCCTTTAAGCGAATAGTTAACGATAAAGCCCACCTAGCTTTTTTATACTTGGCAGGTTATTTATATAGCATAAATTCCAAACACATGTCCTCTAAATGATTATACAGAAAAAATTCAATGAGATCATACATTCATGATGGTTATCTGAAACCAAGCAGATATGAGGGCAGGGTTTTCATTGATATTCCATATAAATCACTCACATACTCCAAAATATTTTTGGGGTGTATAGTAATAGTTAGTAGCCCAGATCATTTCTACATTGACAGTCCAGCTCAACAGTATTAGTGTGTTTTATACAGATTTTTCAACGTTGGTTGTATTATTACTTCCACCAAGAAAGTTATGTTTTTAAGAGAGTTTGTCTGTCAGGCTGTGTACAGGAAGTTATGAATAGATTTTATTTAAATGTTTTCCCAGAGGAACAATCCATTAAACTAGATAATGATCAAGATCATGTGTGAGTTTTAGCTATCGGTGTAATTCACAATTAGGGGCGAAATTTACTGCTTGATGAAGGTCTGCACTTCTCTAGTTGTTTCTGTTTTAGTCTAAAAAAATTAGAGCTGATATTTCATGTTAAGTTACTCAAGAAGTGGTTGAAGCAGAAACTATATATAACTATATTGACCTATTCTATATATCTATATATCTATATAGAATAGATATTTACTGTTGGATATTATTTTACTCATGGATTTATTTGCATTCTTAGAAGCAGTTTTTTTTTTTTTTTTTTTTTTTTTACCTTGATTAATTTTTCACATCTGTTAAATTTGACTAATCTGTGGATAACTTTAGGGTCGTTTTCGATTTTTGAAATGAAGTGTGTGACTTAATACCCTGTTGCCATGACACAGTCAGTCCATTTTGTGTGCTTATTAATAATTTAATCACAGTAATATTTTTTACCAAACATCTCATTATTACGGTTGCTATTTGGCTCATAAATTGTATCACAGCTAGAACGTCAGACATCCTTAGTTTAGAATAAACCTTGTTAGTCTCCTGGTGTTGTCATGTGGCTCTTGGTAATTATGTAGTTCACTGAGTTTAGGAATCAAAAAGATCAAATTTATATGATCTTTTTAATATTAGAGGTTATAATCTGCTGTCAGCACCTCTTCAGGTCTGACTAACATGGTTCCTTGGTGCGGCATCTTGGAGTTTTAGGATGAACTTTTCCATAAATGTGGTTCTGATCAGGGTTTTCAGCAGCTGCCATCCCTCAGGTGTTTATGTGGAGTAAAATATTTCCTCACTCAGTTTTTTTTTTTTTTTTTTTTTAACCTAGCTAATAAAATTGATCTTTTTTACTTTTTTTTGTTTCAAATACTTGTGCCCAAATACAGATTTTCTTGCAGAATCTTTATTGGGATGAGCTTTGGATCTTTTGCCTCATTGATATGTCTTTGAAATTAAAGATGAAGTTCCAGATTTACTATTGTTCTTTTCCTTTTCAAATAGGGAGTCGAGTGGACACAGACTGCAATGAGTTCACAGAAACATCCTGTCTACTCTGTGCTGATGGAACATATATGGAGACTCCTACTGGGAAAAAGCAATGCAACCCATGCAAGAGATGTGATGAAGGTGAAATGTCTCATTTTATTCCTCTTCATCACTGAAGTTTTTGTTTTTTTTTACTTCAAAGATCTTGATATCACTATAAGGGAAACAAATTAAAAAAACAAAACAAACACGAAAATGAATAAATACACATATTATTGTATAAATTAATATATAAATAATATAGAATTTAGTTGAGTTTGTATATTATTATTATTATGTTATTTATGTATAACTAGTTTAGTTATACATAAATAAATAAATAAATAAATAAATAAATAAATAAATAAATAAATAAATACACATTTTTTTAAAGCTAAATATAAAAATAAATTCATAAATAAGATGTGGTCATGAAAAGGCTAATTCTTGTTTTCGTATTATTGTGTATTTTTCATTTTAAACAACTATTTATTAGTTAATTTATTTCTACTTCTATTTATTTTTATTTCCACATTTCTGTCTCTGTGGTTCTAATATTTTTCTTTAGCATTATTGGTTAACTGGGAGAGTCAGACAGAAGCAAACGGTTCATACATGGATGCAGAGCAGAAGGATGTCTGAATAAATCCTAACAGACCATCACATCATGACCTCAGAGAAAACCTGGAACTGAACCTTCTCCTCCTGCTCTATTGTTCATCATCTTTCACCTGCTGTGTCTCTACTTGCTTCTCAGCTGCTGATGCTGAAGGCTCTGCCCGCGCTGCCTCTGTGTTTTCTGCTACTCCTTAGAGATGCTTAGCTGAGCCGAGGAGGACAGAGATTTTAGAAAGATGAACCAACAGGCTGCATATAAGGTCTCATATCGGCCTCTGTTTAATAGTTTAATAAAATCCATAGATAAATTAAATAGTTTGTATTTTGTGCTAATTAATACAGACTCTCACTCCAGTAACCTTGGAAATGGTAAATGGCCTGTTCTTATATAGCCATTTTTCAAGTCAGAGGACTTGACCAAAGTGCTTTACACTACATTCACCCATTTACTCACACATGGTGGCAAACTACATTGTAGCCACAGCTGCCCTGGGGCTCGCTGACAGAAGTGAGGCTGCTGTACACTGATGCCACCAGGCGCTCTGATCAGTAGCAATGCAGGTGAAGTGTCTTGCCCAAGGGCACAACGACACTGAAAGTTGGAACCAGTCGTGCTGAAGGCAAAAGTAAGAACAACCAACCATTAACATACAGAGACTGAAATGTAGATATAAATGTGAAAATGTAAAAATACAGAAATAAATGTGGGAATTTATAAATAAAAAAGAAATAAATAAATAAATCAATAAATAAATACATACACAATAAAGAGAAAAATACATAAAAATATAAATACAACAAAAATATAAAAATAGCCTTTTCCTAATTTTATTTTCAGATAAATGTTTTTGTTTTGCAATTTTTGTCCCTCATACTACAAATCAATGTGAAAAAGACAAACATTCCAGACATTGTTTTTATTCCACTGCTCAGTCTGCTAAATCTAGTTGGTTTTGTGGCTCATTCAGATTCTGATGCTTTTTGTGAAGAATAGTTGGGCTACAACCTCCTCCAAATGCTGCCCCCTGCTGGTAGCCCAGAGAATTATTGGACTACTTCTGTTTCCTTTTCTGGTTCTTGTTCATTTTTCTTGAAAACCAATGAAATACCTATTTATCTTATGTTAAAGTCTTTAGGTCAAGAATACAAAGAGAAAAGGACAGTGGTGGACAGTTTAAGTGTCAGGGAAATGCTAATAAAAAAGCTAAACTCAGAATCAGTGTTTTCTCTCATTATAACTTTGTTCTATGTTGGCAGGTTCTGGTCTGAGGCTAAAAATCAAATGTTCACGATCATCAGATACAGTTTGTGAAGCTCTGGAAGGATATTTCTGTGCTGATGTTATTGAAGGAAGCTGTGCTGCTGCAGAAAAGCACAGCAGCTGTAAACCTGGACAATATATTAGCAAGAAAGGTAAAAAATTTTTACAACAACCCTGGTTTTATATTTACTTCTTATTTTAAATCATGGTATATTATTCATTCATATCTCTTCTACATATAATCAGTGTTAATGTGGATTGAAATGATTCTTCATTCTTACAGGAACGTCGCTGTCAGACACTGAATGCTCTGAATGCAGCAGAGGAACATTTTCTAATGGATCATTAACACTGTCAGCCACACACACAGTAAGAGAATCTATAGATCTATAGACACATCTAGATTATTCACCAGGAGTGAACTTGTTTGATCGGATGCATTTCTGTAAATGGATCTCTGTGTGATTCCAGATGTGAGGAGCTAAATCTTCAGCTGGTTAAAGAAGGAACAAATTCAACTGATGCAGAGTGTGGAGGAAAAAATATAAATGTGGCTGGAGGTGTTGAGATTCCTGCTGTATTAGTGGTGTGTGTGGGAATAGCTGTGGCTTTTTATGTTGTCTGGAAGAAATAATACATTAAATGTGGTGAGCTTCCTTTTATTTAAAGGCTAAAATAAACGTCTGAGTCCTGTCAGTACTAGAAATAGTTCTTAACCTGAATTTTCCTTTTCTGCTCGACAGGAAAACAAAGAAATACAGAAAATGGAGAAGATTCCACAGATCACAGAAAGGTATGTTTATTTCCTTTATTTTCACCCTTATTGCATTTATTTTGTGATGACATCATTTCTTTGACTATTTTACCGAAAAGGGCCCCACACTTCCTCCAGAGGATTTACCACTGGGGGCCGGGGATGTGGAAGGAAATGGAGGATCAGTAAAGACAGCAGGTGAGAGAGGAGCTCAGACCTTACAGCTGGATGCAGCATCACAACGTTGTTGGACTGTTGAACCGTCTGTTATCAAGACTTTCTCACAGCAGACTTGTTCATAGATGCAGAAACATCTAACTTCCTGCACAGTGAACACCTGTGTGGTTTTATGGAGCTATAACTGTAAATGTAGTAAAACGTCTCTGAAAGCAGGAAGATGGTGGAGGTTAAAAAACTCCAACTCTGTTTAAGAAACTGAATCTGATTGTTGGAAAACTGGCTGCAGGTCTGAATGTAAATAGAGCCACGATAACTAGTGGGAATCATTTTATGACCCAATGAGAGCCTGTTTCTACCCAACATTGATGTTTAATCAAAGCAGAGACAAACATTGTTCCCTGCAGAGTAAATGTGCTCTGGTTAACTCTTTACTGGACTTTTGAATAATCTTTGCAGTTTTTAAAACAACTCATCTAACATTTACCAACCGTCACATTCTACAGGTACAGAGGAAGAAAAGCAAGAATCAAGATCAAATTTGAACAGTTGATTTAAAAATAACCCTGGATCTGAAATAAATACACAATATAAACAGAAGCAAGCCTTGATGTCAAAGTATCAAATCTCTAACATAAATGACCAATACTTATATAGCGCTTTTTGAAGCACAGGGGACTTGACCAAAGAGACTTGGCTGCTGTACACTGGCACCACCAGGCCCTCTAACCACCATCAGTAGACAATGCAGGTGAAGTGTCTTGCCCAAGGACACGACACTGAAAGCCAGAGCAGAGGCTTGAAACGTCAATCCTTCGATTTCAGGGCAAACGCCTACACACGGCGCCACTGTCGCCCCTCTACAGAACTGAACTGCTGTCAAGGACAGAAAATTCTGCTGAATTCTCCACTTTTCTGGACAGTTACCCCATTGAATGAGGACTCCTTTACAAATCAGTGAAACTCATCTTGTAAAGACTGACATCTGACTGAGGTGCAACTGACTGTCATTCCCCTCAGTTCCTCTTTAATATGGAATACATTGCATATTTTGTTCTCTGTGTTTAGAATTCAGTATTTGAATGTCATTCTTCAAATACATTGGGGTGGAAAGTATTTAATCAGCCACTAATTGTGCAACTTCTCATACTTAAAACATGACAACAATTTTCAACATAGGCCCAATCCAGGAAACCACATTGTAGGAATTACACATAATATTTTTCTAAATCATGGTGAAAATAAGTTTTGCTGTCTCACAATGAAGAAAGTTTGGCCGTCAGATCTGTAACCTTGTTCTTTTCTTGACTCGTTGCCAGTATTAATGGGACCGGTTTGATACAGGTCTGGAGGGCTAAGAATACCTTACCTGTATAAAAGCTGATTTCCACAGCCTCAAAGAGTCAGATTCAAAACTCAACCATAGCCAAGACTAAAGAGCTGTCAAAGGACACCAGGAAGAAAACTGAACCTGCATCAGGCTGGGAAGAGTGAATCTAGAAAGGCGAGAAGGTTGGTGGGAAGAAATTGACTCTGGGAGCAACTAGAAGATAATGGAAGACATTGAAAATAACTAATAATCTGACTCCATCTGGGGTCCCATGCAGGATCTCATCCCATGGTGTCAAAATGATTGAAAGGTGAGCAAAACCTCCCAGAACTCCACGGAGGGATCTGATGAACGACCTCAAGAGACCTTGGACCAATGGAACAAAGGCAGTAACTCTACGCCCAGAAGGACTCACATACTGCAGGACCGGGCGTCTCCTCCGTCTTTAGCCGGTGCATATGCAGGCCCATCTGAAGTTCCCCTGAGAGCTTATGGATGATCCAGAAGAGGATTGGGAAAACATTAGGCCGTCAGATTAAACCAAGATCAAACTTTTTGGAAATAAAAACTCAACTTGTCTTGTCTGAAGGAAGAAGACTGTTGAGCTGCATTCCAAGAACATCATAACTACTGTGAAGCATGGTCGTGGAAGCATCATGCTTTGGTGTTGTCTTTCTGCAAAGGGAACAGAATGACTTATCGTTGCTTAGGTAAGAATGTATATGGTGATATTTCCTAAAACTTCCCCGTTAGTGGGAACAATGAAGAAAGAACGTGGCTGGTTTTTCTAGCAGGACAATGATCCCAAACACAACAATCAGCAAGGAAGGAGTGGCTCTGCATTTCAAGGTGCTGGAGTGGCATGGCCTTTCTGCAGACCTCCAACCCAATGAAAATTAGTGGAAGGAGATGAAAGTCTGTGCTGCCCAGTGATAAGATGCAATATATCACTGCTCTAGAGGAGATGATGGAGGAATGGACCAGAGTAGCAGCTACAGAATGAGCAAACAGGAAGAAAACTGAAAGGAAACCTTTGACCTCTGTTATTGCCAACAAAAGTCATGATACAAAGGATTAGGTTTACTTTTGTTTGTTTTGATCAAATACTTATTTTCAACCATAATTTACAGGTGCTGGTCATAAAATTAGAATATCATGAAAAAGTAGATTGATTTCAGTAATTCCATTTAAAAAGTGAAACTTGTATATTATATTCATACATTACATACAAACTCATATATTTCAGATGTTTATTTTGTTTAATTTTGATGATTACAAATGACAACAAATGAAAATCTCAAATTCATCATATCAGAAAATTAGAATATTGTGAAAAGGTTCAAAATTGATGGCCCCTGGTGCCACACTCTAATCAGCTAATTAACTCAAACCACCTGCAAAAGCCTTTAAATGGTCTTTCAGTCTAGTTCTATAGGCTACACAATCATGGGGAAGACTGCTGACTTGACAGTTGTCCAAAAGACGACCATCGACACCTTGCACAAGGAGGGCAAGACACAAAAGGTCATCGCTAAAGAGGCTGGCTGTTCACAGAGCTCAGTGTCCAAGCACATTAATAGAGAGGCGAAGGGAAGGAAAAGATGTGGTCGAAAAAAGTGTACAAGCAAGAGAGATAACCGCACCCTGGAGAGGATTGTGAAACAAAACCCATTCAAAAATGTGGGGGAGATTCACAAAGAGTGGACTGCAGCTGGAGTGAGTGCTTCAAGAACCACCACACACAGACGTATGAAAGACATGGGTTTCTGCTGTCGCATTCCTTGTGTCAAGCCACTCTTGAACCACAGACAGCGTCAGAAGCGTCTTGCCTGGGCTAAAGAGAAACAGGACTGGACTGCTGGTGAGTGGTCCAAAGTCATGTTCTCTGATGAAAGTAAATTTTGCATTTCCTTTGGAAATCAAGGTCCCAGAGTCTGGAGGAAAAGAAGAGAGGCACTTCATCCACGTTGCTTGAAGTCCAGTGTAAAGTTTCCACAGTCAGTGATGGTTTGGGGTGCCATGTCATCTGCTGGTGTTGGCCCATTGTGTTTTCTGAGGTCCAGGGTCAACGCAGCCACATACCAGGAAGTTTTAGAGCACTTCATGCTTCCTGCAGCTGACCAACTTTTTGGAGATGCAGATTTCATTTTCCAACAGGACTTGGCACCTGCACACAGTGCCAAAGCTACCAGTACCTGGTTGAAGGACCATGGTATCCCTGTTCTTAATTGGCCAGCAAACTCTCCTGACCTTAACCCCATAGAAAATCTATGGGGTATTGTGAAGAAGAAGATGCAATACACCAGACCCAACAATTCAGAAGAGCTAAAAGCCACTATTAGAGCAACCTGGGCTATCATAACACCTGAGCAGTGCCACAGACTGATCGACTCCATGCCACGCCGCATTGCTGCAGTAATACAGGCCAAAGGAGGCCCAACTAAATACTGAGTGCTGTACATGCTCATACTTTTCATGTTCATACTTTTCAGTTGGCCAACATTTCTATAAATCCTTTGTTTTTATTGGTCTTCAGTAATATTCTAATTTTCTGATATGATGAATTTGAGATTTTCATTTGTTGTCATTTGTAATCATCAAAATTAAACAAAATAAACATCTGAAATATATGAGTTTGTATGTAATGTATGAATATAATATACAAGTTTCACTTTTTAAATGGAATTACTGAAATCAATCTACTTTTTCATGATATTCTAATTTTATGACCAGCACCTGTACAAATAATTTGGATTTTTTAATTTTATCTCATGGTTGAAGTGAAGGTATGATGAAAATTACAGACCTCTCTCATTTATAAAGTAGGAGAATTTGCACAATCAGTGGCTGACCAAATACTTTTTGTTCCAAGTGTTGTGTAACATCTGTATTTTGCCCTCATATTTGAAAATGGGAGAAATAAAGATGCTTAATTAAAATCAAGTTCATAAAGACCTAAATGTAAATCTTAAATTAGATGGTTGCTTTGATTTGTCTCTAATTTATTCCTTTTTTTTAATCTAATCTTTGATATCTGAAGCTTATAACTGTATGTGGAATTGTATTTTAGTTTATTTAGATTTAAGATATTATTTTGACTTTTTTTATATTTGTACTTTCTTAAAGCAGGATTTACTTTGATGTTTTTATCTACAAATGACTATATTCAGCTTTTCTTAATGGTACCGGTTGTTTATTTTTCTTCAGTTGAACTGAAACAGTTTTATATTGATGATGAGTTACTCTAATGTGGATGGTTTTGAACTAAAGAGGACCTATTTCCCACACATGAGCAAGCAAAACACACATAGAAAAGATAAAGGTCTTTACTGGGATTTGAACTTAAGACTCTGACCTAATATATCTACAGGAGTAATGACCATATGTTTTTTAATTAGACAGAAATTAAATAGACGTGCTTATTATCTTCATATCATGTTTCAAATCTCAACTCTCTAAAGGCTTTCTGGGTAAGTTTGGCTTTGGCACATTTGACTGGGTTATCAGTTGTATTGGTTAAACTCTTTAATTCACAAATCATTCATTGTTTTAATCCAACTGTTTCTGTAGTAATACTACAGGTAGAAAATATTGGTTAAGGCAAAAGTTTACAGATTAGAGATGAAAACGATTAAGCTCCTCTACCTGAGTGTAGACAGTCCACAGGTACTTAATCTAAATGGACATTTATAAACTATATACAACTTCTTATCCTGTGCTGCCCTCTAGTGGAGCTTTACCACAGTGCATCCATTGTTTTTGTTTCTGTCGTTTTATGGTTTCAGCAGCTAGAAAGGCATTTGTTGTGACGCATATCTGCTGAGGGTTAAATGTACTTGGAAGTATTCCGATTAAGGTGCGGTAGCTCTGTTTTAATTCTTTGATTTTTTTAACGCTACATAACTTGTTAGCAGTTTGATCTCTTTAACCGGGTTATTGTGAGTTTCTTACTTTTTATAGTTAGTTTTTAATATTGAAACCAAATAATTACGAAACCACTTCTGCCGCTCCCTGTTTCCCTCCTCCTTTTTTTTGTGACGTCACTTTCGGGTTGCCAGGTTGTAATCCATCCTTCCACCCACACTTACGTGCGTCTTCAAATGCCGTTTTCTTTTCTTTTATTTAGCTTTTATTTCCTATAGTTAGCATAGGTGATCATTACTGTTTACTCTATTTATTCCTTTCACTGCTTATCATAAACACAGTCACTGTAGAAGGACTGAGGCAGCGGTCAGTGGACCTGAGCTGGTGCTGCTCTGTGGATGTTGAGCTGTGATGCTGAAGATGCCTGATGGAAGCTGCCAGAGCTCTGTCTGCTTCTCTATCTCTACCCAGGAAACTGTGCTATTAATGACAAAGGCTGTTAAGAGCAGAAGGATGTTGCTTCATGTTGGGATTATGAATTGTGGAAAAAAGATTAAAAAATTTTTTTACAGTTTAGATGCCAAAAATGTAAATAGTCTTTAAAATGTGTTTTTGGCATTCCATCAGGGTCATGGTGAGGCCCTTATCTGCAGCAGTTTATGGCTGAGAGGTGGGGTCCACCCTGGATAGGTTGCCAGTCAGAGGCATAGCCAGAAATTTTTTTATAAGGGTGGCCAGGCCAATGTAGATTGAGGGGTGGCCGAAAGCGGATAGGCGCCCAGAACCTCAGGGTCAATCCTAATATGAGAATAACTATCCTTTCCTACAGTCTTTGATGACAAATAGACCAATATATTTAAACATTCGTGCTTTCTAGATAAAAGGTATAGTGGAAACTTTCAGGTTGGAGTTCTGGGGCAAACATCTTTTCCATTGTCATTACTTACCTACTTTTATCGATAATCATTCTGCATAAAATTGATATTTACAAATATCTACATAAATTGATTATTTAATACGATTTTATTAAAATTGTTATTTATCTTTGATTTCACTGAAGACTCCTAGATGAATTGCAGAGACACGTTATTTTCTTTTTACCCGATATCAAACACAAAATCTAGTTCTAAAAAGAGCATGCATTCTGTATTTATGATCTTTTTAATGTTAATATATTGATGTGTATAATTAACCGCAGCGTTTTTGTTGTCAAGAAACTAGGAATACATGAAAAAATTGTAATATATGAAAAATTAAAAAGAATATTCCACTTGTTTTCCACTGCTACCACCATCTGTATTAGAGGGAAGAAAAATGGTAGGGGTGGCCAGTGATTGGCTAAGGGGGGACATGGCCACCCTTGGCCCCCCATCTAGCTCCACCCCTGTTGCCAGTCTGCCTCAGGGCAACAACATGAACTATCGCTGCCTACATAATGCTAGTTTATTGCAGATTCCTCCTCCACCAGAGCCTCAGCCTGCTTGGCACTGTTACCTTTAAGGGCCCAATTTAAGCAATAAAACCGTCCTGATGACTAATAAAAAAGTCCACATTTAGTTCAGCAGTGCAGGTCTAGGATTTTTTTTGTTGAAAAATCTACTTTATTGTTCACTCGAACTGAATGTTAAAATGAAATTTGACTTCTGCATTTATTCCATCCCCCACAGAGAGTAATCTTTGTTTTAGGGTGGTGCTGATGGAAGTAGGATGTGGTTTAACCGGATACTTGCAGCCTCCTTTAGAGTTCTGCTTTGCTCTCTCCAACACGCCAAATCATTATTTGAGCTCTTTATTGTGGTTTTACTGGTGAGTGAAAGAAGAATAGTTTCTGTCTTAAAGAGCACCTATTGATCCGAGTCTTCAAACCGCTTTTGGCATTTACTTAATCCTATTTAGTTTCTTTAACACAACTGTTTTATGTCCTACCCAGCTTACATGAAACAATTGTGTTAAAGTAACTAAATATAATTAAGTAAATGCTTAAAAACGGTTGCATTTTTTTCAGTGAGCTGGAAGGTGGTTCTGAAGGGGTTTTGTTCAAGCAGGTCCTTAATGTTTGTGGCTCTGTAAAGTATGTAAGGTGTGTGGGTGTGTTTGTGTGTGGGTGTGTATATGCAGAAAGAAGGTGCACAGTTAAAAATGAAGAAAGAGATGTTATGTTTTACTGAGGTATACCTGGGTTCTCATCCTGCTGCAGTTCCAAAAAAACATGCTTGATTGTTAAATTAAATGGAGCAATAAGGCCACAAGGTCACATTAAACAGACTTTTTTTTTTTTTTTTACAAAAAGAGGGGGTTTTTTCCTCTGAAAAAGGGCACATTGTTGAAAGGTAAATATTAAGGTCCCAATTAGAACTGAAAAAAATATATTTTTTAATACCTTTTTTTAAGCTTTCTTTCTCTCTTTCCAACTGCAGTTAAATTCACCCAAAGTAACGAGGTTAACAGCATTCAGTTTTATTCCAGAACTTAATGTTTCCCTCTAATAAAATCAGGAAGGAAATAAAATGTCTTCCATTTCTTTAAATTTAATGCAAGATAAGTTTATATGTGCAGATGTCATACAAGTGCTGAATATAATACAATAGGGAGAAAAATGATGTTGTTTTTCATTCTTTTAATGATTACATTGTTGAAATGTCCGGATTCCTCTTATGATTTATTGGTGACATATTTACCAAGATGATGGGAAACTGATCCCTTCCTGGGATTTTCCTCCTGTGCTGCTGGAAACCTCGTCCTGTTGTTGGCTTCTTGTTAATATCTGGAAACTAGTCAAATCTTTTTTTTTCTTCCACTATAAGAGACTAAAAATAACTGAGGTGTTTTAACCTACAGATGATTGGATATTATTCCCATAATTCATGTTTGGATTTGACTTTCTGTTCTTCTCCTTTTTCTTCTGTAATTTGTATGATTTGTTTGTGTCTCAGTCTGCCTCTCGCTCGTAAACAGCTGGAGATGGTTACCAGATAGTTACCCCTCGCGACTCCAGCTGAGATAGTTGTTGTTTTTTTGGTGTATTTAATATTCTTTCATCTGTTTCAGGTTTTCTGTCTGTTCTCTGAAAGTTTAGCATCTAAACTCTTCAATGGACTCTGGGTGCTGCTGTGGGCAGACGTCCTCCCTGAAGGCAGACATCCTCTCTGCAGACAGATGTCCTCTCTGAAGACAGACTTCCTCCCTGGAGGCCGTCTCCCAGCTTTTATGTACAAGATCCTGCTATAATGTGACCTTTAGGAATTCTGCATGGTCTCTCCAGGCGCTGTGGTTTCAGTCTCATTGTTGCAACAAACAGATGCTCTATGTCAGTGTTTTATAAAATAACATCCAGGTTGTGTTTTAGGAGCTTCTTTGCTGAACTTTATTTAAAGGCAGATGAGCAGTGAAGATCTGTTTGTCTACCAGCAGCAAAAGAAACACTTGAAAGATTATGTCTATATTAGATAGATGTCCTTATGTGGATCTTTTTCTTTGAATGAAACTGAACTGTTTTCTGCATCTTGGAAAAGATCAAAGGCAAAATAAGGAGAGGAAATCTGCCCCAAAACAAAATGGTTTATTTATTTTTTTATTTGGTAAAGGCAGAAACTATTTCTTTACAGAATTTCATAAATTGTTTACATTTTCCTTTCCGAAAGGTGTTGATTTATAAATACAAACAAAACAAATTACAATATAATAATAAAAAAAAATTTTACACTTATAAAAACACTTTAATATGTCAATCCATACATGTTTGTATTCCTATCCATTCCTTTGCTATCATAATCAGTATATGAATAATTTTCTTTTTCTATTTAACACTGTATTGGGGAAAATGCTCAGCAGGAAGCTATTTCGATGAGATACTTGGTACAATAAAGAATTGCATTTTTTATTTCCATTAAAACTCTTGCCATGAAAAAACTACTCACCATTGTATGTCCTACTATGAAGGATTCCTTCCACCTTTTGATATTATGTTTCCTTCTTTCTCCCATTTCTGTTTTATATCCTCATTATCATCTACTTCTATCTGCGGAGCTTTATACAACTTTAATATGACATTTTAAGTAGTGTTAAAGTTTTTCATTAGGAAAAAACAAAATAGTTTATTTTAATGATGACGTCTATGAAGTCTGTAATGGAGGATTTCAGCCAAACCTGGCAACTCACGCAGTTCCTGAGTTCATGATGTTTGAAGTAATCTTTGAAATCCCTTTTTTTTTTTCTGTCTTATAATTAATTAAAAATAGAACAGGAAACTTCTCCGGATCTATAAAAGCTTCGTGGAAGAATGTAAAAGAATGTTTTTAGTGATGATCATCGGTGGTGAGTCTGACTGCGTGACTCCGGGTTCACATTGCAAACTGATCTCACGATGGTGATGATCGCTCACTGTGGGTTTCTCTCTCTTTCTCCCCACTCGGACACTCCATGTGTTTACAGTTGGTTTGGTCCTGGTGGGTTCAGGTTCCACCTGCGGACCCAGAGAATACACAGCCAGAGACGGACAGTGCTGTCCAATGTGTCAGGAAGGTACGAGAACAACAGAGAGGGAAGTCAAACAGTAGAGAAGCCATTTTGATACAACTTCTCAAACGGCTGCTTTCTGCGCGGCCATAAAAAAAAGACAAAAATGCGCAAACACGCAGCTCCTTTACCCTGCATAATTGATAATTTATTTTTTTAAAGTAAACACTGATGCTTTCACGTTTAGTCGGAACTTTTACAACCGATGTCGGTTGTAAAAATTGATCATAAATAGATTTAACTCGTATGTTCCTAGTGGCTGACAAGTGTGCTGTGAAACCAAAAATGGACGAGAATAAAATCATTTAATAAATTAAAGAAATATTTAGAGATCAAACCTGCGATGAGTAGCTTCGATTTAATCATTATAAAAACATTTTATATCAATCTCCAAAAGAAAAAAAAAATCAGATTACAAAATATTCAGAAACACAAACCAACCTCAGCAGTGATTCCCTGAAATAAAAGCTAGTCCTAAAATTTATCTTTTTTAGCTTAGATTGAGATAACATCACCAGACCATAGAAACCTACCTTCAGGTGTGGCTGAATGTCTGCAGGTATGGGCAGCAATGACTTAAGGGACAGACCCATGGTTTAGGGACCCATGACCTTCTAGGGGCCTCATCACTGACACCTGGTGGGCCTCATGTGCAAATGTGGACTAGGACGTCCCTTTGCAGATGTAATGGTGAGGAAAATTCCCCTTAAATCTACCTGATACTAGAATGACTGACTGGACCTTATTTATACCTCAACACATGGCAGATTTCACCATAGTGAGCTGTTTAAACACCACACCAATAGTAAAGCAGACAGTGGGACTTTTAATTACTATGTTAATAACTGTGTATAGGTTATTAGACAGTTGGTAAAAAATACACTCATAAAAACAATGTATTTCAGTATTGAATTTTTTACACTACGACTTGGAATTATGGGTAATGGGTTATGATGAACTGAGTGAACATAATACGTACGTAACGTGCATGCAGCGTCACACCCAGATAATGTACTGCTTCCTGTGTAGTACAAAGGTTATGTGTGTTGTTATATTAGGTTAACATAAGGTTTCCAATCCATGATAATATTGTGGAATAAACAGCATACTAAACTGGTCCAGGAAACTAGTTTTTCTATTTCATCCACTAACATTTAAGATGACAAAAACAATTCGTGCTCCTGCAAAAACTTGTTTTTCTTATAAAAGGGAAGGAAAAGCTGTGCGTCAGCTGTCGTCTAGGATTTTCTATGTAATTAGAGACACAATAATAGCTACTGAACTCATTTACTACATGCAAAATCATTTATTTTAAGCCTTACATGCACTACAAAATGACACTTTGCATTACTTCACCCAGTCAACTGGTTCCACTAAAGATACTTTACGGATAATTAAAGACTAACCAATTAAGTCACTAAATAAAGCATTGTAGGCCTATGTTTGTAAAACTTAATGCTGTAAAGTAAAAATTTACCAGATGCTAATCAGTGAGAAAAATAAGCATTTGAACACCAGTGATAATTGATTCAAATAAATAAATATCCAGAAATCACAGTTTATTATTTTTTATTTACAAGTTACTGCTGCAAATTTGAACACCTGCAGCCAGTGTTAATATTTGGTACAGTAGCCTTGCTTTTGAATTACAAATGTTTTCTGTAGTTTTTCACCAGGATTGCAAACTGCTGCAGAGCTGGGCATTTAAACTGATCCCTACCTAAAGAATCGTCTTATATCTATCTAATTATGAATTGAAAGATAGGCCACAATAAAACAGTTCATTTTGAGAGGGAGTGATAAAGACCGTTTCAAGCAGGCTGTGGTATCATGGCAACTTTAGACTCCATGTAGTCTTTACAGAATGATACAATTATTTTCTCGATAAGGTAAATTTGAATATTGTATTCAAGAGAAGTGAGTGTCTTAAAATAATGATTTATAAGAAGGCATATGTTAGAAAAACTATTTCCAGTTCAACGTGACAGGGATGTTTTTTGTTCAAAGAGTAAATGTCCATCTGAATCGTAGGAAAGGTAGTCTGACTCAGTCCAGCAAGCACATACCTCTCCAGGGATTTGGTTCCATCTTAGCGTAGGTATCAGCTGGGAAGCGGTGTCTCGTCATATGCTGCCTGGGGCCACTGGAAACAGGAGGTTGAATGGCAGTAACTTCCTTAAATAAACTCTGCTGTAGGGGTGGGACTTCAGAGGGGAGTCGTACAAGTTACATCACTGACATTTGATTTCAACACCTCCCTTAGAAATTGCTATTTGTAATAACATTGGAGCAAGTCACGTTTGTATGGAGGCAGACATCTTTAAGTTATGGCAAATCAGAGATGACAAACTAGCAACTGTAGATATCGACATTACAATCAAATGTAAGTGTGGCAAGTTAGACTTATATAAAATCTATATCTGACATAGACTAATACAATAATATTTATAAAATGATCTATTTACACTACAGTTGCACAGGTCAATTGCAATGCTTGTATCTTGGTATCATGGTCCATATTTGTTTTGGTCAGAGTAACCAAAACATTGAGGCAAAATACCCACACAACAGAGGTAAGGGGGGAAACATACTGGTGCTGAGGAGCACAGCTATGGATCGGAGAAGGCTGCCATGCAAACTGAAGCACTGAAGGTGGGAGAAAGACCACAACTGACCCAGGCTAGCTATATAGGCGAACTGCGGAGGACTGAAGGAGGGTGTCTGTAGAACAGATAAGATTATTAATGGTGCAGAGGGGCTGCAGCTGACCGTAGGAGTACTGGGGTACATCACAAAGGATGTCAGGGAAACAGGGCAAGAAGAAAAGGCAACAGCCTGAGGCTAGCCTTTAGAGGCTAATTGCTGGAGATGGAAGGAGGGCAGCTGAGGATCAGATGAGGCTGAGGGCGGACAGAGTGGCGGCACATTGGTCGGTGTCTGCGCTAAAGATGGGGAGTTCTTCTAGGGCTGAATTAAAATGGCTTTTTTAAAAGCACATTCCTGTCATGATTTTAAGAGCTCGGACTCACGTGCAGAGAGACCAATCCAGAGAGACCAGGGGAAAGGTTTAACAGGTTTATTTAGGAGTTTGTGATGAATCCAGTGTTGCTCTGAACACTGCTCAACCGGCACTGAAAGGTGAGGGGAAGACACTGCGGTTAGTTCAGGCTCAGTAGGAATTTTGATTCTCGAACTTGAAGAGGAGAATTTGGTAGATAACTCACGTTTCTAGAGAAGTTGCTGACTCTTAGACTCCAGTCAGTGTGGGGAAGTTTCAGTGTTTGTCTGATTCTGTGGAAGGCGGACAGGGTTTACCCAGAATGCGGTTGTTAGTTGGTGAACGGAGAAGCTGACTGCCACTCAGAATTCCTGCGGTACTTGAACGGGTCGTAGTGGAGATGAATCCCTTACTCAGTGTGAAGCTTAAATGATCTCTTGAGGGAAAGTGGATTCAAACCTCCAGTTTGAATCCTCAACTCAGTTTGAAGCTCAGATGATCCTTCCAGGGAGAGAAGGTCAGAAAGATCCAGTTTTGCAGGATGACTTCCTGCCGAGAGGCAAAAACAAAAACAACGTTAAAACTCAGGTTGACAAGGCTCCGCTGCCTCCTTCACTAAAACAGCGGTGAATTCATGGGACTTTCTCATCTCCAAATTTTTAAAAACTTAATAATAAAAGTTTAATGTGCATGTGACAACAGCATAAAGGAGGTTATGATATTAATACTTGAATCGATGATCAGCAGATACTGGTTTTGGTAAACAATTCCCAAACTCCTGATACATGCATCTCTAATATAAACAATTCTCTTTATCACTTGACAAGAAAGTTGATGCAGATTTTGCAAAAGCTAAATTTTACCATGACGGCCTCCATGTTGTTGGAGGGGAAGAAGCGATAGCCCGAGCATTAGATGTTGCTGAAAATTACACACTGTAGCTTTAACACTCTACTTGAACTCACTTTCCAAGACAGGAAAAGACAAAACAGGGAGCTATACAGTTTATTTGACACATTATTTAGAGATAGCAGTTTTTATTTTTTTTCACCTTTTGTTGCTTATGAACTCAAGGGAAATGCAAGTGTATTTGTTCAATGAACCCTTTTGCAGGGGTTATGTTCCCTAAAGAACCAGTGATAGGCAAAATCCATAGTAGTAACCTTTATCTTTTTTTACAGTTATTATTAAAAGCTTGTTCAAACTCGAGTGCTTGTGCTCCAGCGGAATCCACAGATGAGGTTTTGTTTGAAAGTTATGGCACATCCACATATTGATCTGTTCTAAGCATCTAGCCAACACTCTGGCGAGTTCATAGTCATCTGGTGACATTGTGATGTAAAGCTGTGTGCTTCTGCATAGTTATGGTAAATGATATTGTTGTTTGCTATAATCTGAGCTAAGGGGATCATGTAGATGTTGAATAGGAGCTGTTGGAGCCTATTAAGAATTAGATTAAATTATTAAATTTTTTGCTAAATTATTAAGGTTAAAGATCTAAGGTTGTGTGAATGGTAGAGCTTTTGTTAATTTGTTTATGTATTGGTTCTGCTTGGACCCTCCTTGTCAGTCCGCCTCCTGCTGAAATTAACAAGTAGAAGCAGCTGATAAGATGGATCTGATTGTTTGTTTGAAGGAGTGAGGAGTGCAACAGTTTTTTTCACACACATCACTTAACTTTTATATTTTAATTTTTTGTAAGTCAACTCTGAGAATATTTCTGTATTTTTTTTTATAAGTAAAGAAAACACCCCTTTTTTGAAACAAGAAAATGCTCCACGAGTGCTTTTCGTTTTGTGAGTCGAAAAACCTCCTCCTAAGACAACTCTGGAATTTTTTTATTTTTTTGGGAAACTATTTTGATGCAAGAGTAGCCGTAACAGGAGCGGTCATTTTTCTGGTCTCTGATTTAAAGTTCCCTACTGACACATAGAAGTCCCTGTCCTTCAGGTGGGATTTAAACCATTCCAGTGCTGAACCAAAAAGGCCCACCCAGTTTTTCCAGAGGCTCTAATAAAATTGAGTGTTCATCAGTATCAAATGCTGCACTGAGGTCCAATAATACCAGCACTGTGGTTCTTCCAGAATCTTAGTTCACATGAATGTCATTAAACACATTAATCAGGGTGGTCTCTGTACTGTGGTTGGCACAGAAACTGACTGGAAGACATCAAAGCGGCCTTACATTGTTAAGAAGGCATTTAACTGTTTAAACGAAACTTTTTTACTAATCTTAGTGAGGAATGAGAGGTTTGAGATGGGCCTGTAGTTTTGCAGGATTAATTTGTCCACATTTCTTTTCTCTTTTCAACAATAATTGCTGTTCTCCTGCAGGCAGTCTCTGAACATGTCACCTTCAAACACACACAAAGTTGTCTCACTTTCTTTGCAGTACCTCTCCATTAGTTTCTAGAGCCTCATCGTGACCCTTACCCTAACCATTACAGTTTCATACCTAACCCCAACCTAAACTCAATTCCCACATTAGTCCTAAATGTGACCCCTGACCCAAAAACAGTAATTCCCCACTGAGGTCCATGCATCGGGCCCAACAATGAGCAGTCTGGCCCCACAATGTATTAAAAACAAGAGCACAGCCACACAAATACACGCAATCACGTTGGCTGTCATTGTGGGGTCTTTCAATTTACTACTGTTCATTTCTGACCAATTTTTACAGCCTAACCGTGACCTTTATCCTACACATAACCACTACGGTTTCATGCTTAACTCCAATTTAAACCTAAACTCAATTCACAACTAAGTCCTAAACCTAACACCTAACCCAAAAACACAATTTGTACCCATATGGACCAGAAATTGGTCTTAGAGCTGGTATTAGAGCACTCGGTCCCCATGATGTAAGAAATGTTATGCTAACTTACTGAGATACTGGAGACATTTATTTTATTTTACAACTGGCAGTCCCACTGCCCGAACACTGAGCACTGAGAGATGAACACGGGGAGGCTCCGCCTTTATTATCTTTTTTTATAGTAGAGCATAGCCTCCCGCTTTACAAAGTAGTAGAAAACAAAAAAAAATACAACAGTGGCATACATTGTAATCAACATTTTGTCCTCTGTGTAATGTCCCTCAAATAGATACTGGATACTTTTTTAAATAGAGCACAATCACATTTTCCCATTCATGAGTTACATTTCCAAACCCTCAGTATGAGAAGGTAGCTTGCAGTGGCGGCTGGTGAAAAATATTTTTGGTGGGGCTGATATAGCCTAGTGTATGTCTCCAACTAATCCGGAATAAGAATTCAAATAAACAATTGGACAATACATACAATTTAACAGTAATGATTTAATGTACTATATAATAACAGTAACAGTGATGATTTGGGTCACTGTGACGGGGTTCTTTGGCCTCCAAGAATCCAGGCTCAGTCGGGTTACCGGTGTTGGTGATTTATTGTGGTCAAAAACTCAAAACAGGGTGCAAAAGAAACTAAACATATACCAGATACTCTGGGCCTCAGCCTCCCTCCAGTTACCAGCAATGTAACAAAGAAACAGAAAACCAAAATTGCCGCATTTCTTCCCAGAGCCCTCATTAAATAGTTTAAGCCCCTCACCTCAGGCTCTCTTATTTCTGATTTCTTCTCATTAATCAGTTTTGTCCATATATTACCTCCACAAACTATTGATGTACAAAAACAAATAATTTTTACAACTTAATTCTTTTACACCCCCCCCCCCCACACACACGGCTAACCCCACTGAAATATTAAGTGTGCACCCTCAATATGCCAGCAGGTAACCAGGAACAGCTTGTGTGTTTTAAGTTCATGGAGCTACTGGGCTCAGCGCGAGTGTATTGGTCCTCACAAGCACAGTATAACAGGAATGTGTGTGTGGCGCGCAAAGTTAGAGAGGTTGTTTTAAGCGACGAGGTGGATTCGTCACAGTCACAATAACCATGACATGAAATGTTCATATCCTACAACAGGGATGTTCTTCTGGCAAACGGGTAGATAAATAAGGATCTCACCGAATTTGGTGGGAGCTGCATCTCGGTCGTTACATTCGCCATCTTCCCTCTAATTGTCTGCACCTGCGCTTGGGTTCAGAAGCCTGTTAAAGCGCAGTATTTTCAGCGCCCCAAGACCATAAAGTTCCGAGACGCTGATTGGCCATTAAATTCACCTAGCAATAGTGCATGATTGACAGATTCTCTGCAAATGTGGGGCTGTCTGATCAGCGCCCCCAGAACAGAGACGGTAGGAGTCTGTCTGTGGAAATCCACAAATTTATGACAGTAGATAGGGAAATGTAGTTTATATAATTTGTTTTGCTTATAGGTACACAGTCTAGAGAGTAAAACTGACATTTATCATTTAATTTCTAAAAATATATTTTACGTTTCTCTCTTCTTATCAGGGAGGGCGGTGCCCCAGCGCCCCCTATGGGCCGGCCGCCACTGGTAGCTTGGACTTCAGTGTCTTGCTTAAGGGCACATTGTCATGTGTGACTGGAAACAATAACAACCATCCAGTTGACAGATGAGCCACTCCTGTCCACTGAGGCACAGCCAGCCTTCAGTCTGAGCAGAGGTGTCAAGTAACGAAGTACAAATACTTCGTTACTGTACTTAAGTACACTTTTTCTGTATCTTAACTTTATCCCATTACTTATTTTTCCTCCTACTTCTTACTTCTATTCATTACATGTTCACACAATCTGTACTTGCTATTCCTTACATTTTTAAAAGGCAGAGGTCATGGATTAGCGGACAGATCCGGACCCACCTGCTGGCTAATCCATACTAGAGAATGCACTATATTATCATTAAATTCGTAGGAGCAAAACATGCAGAAATAAATGCTTAATTTAATATGACATTTTAAAACATTCCCCATCAGCATCCAGCAGATGTGCGGTTTCTGATAGGGATGAGAAATCTGCTTCCTGGTCTGTTAAAGGACCAATATTTTGCATCCAATCTTTTAAATAAACAGTGTTACTTTTTTGAAAATATCTAAAAATTATGCTCTAATTTGTAGTTACCTATCTGTTGTTACTATATTTTAATTTGACAAACCGGATCTTCTCGCCGTTATTTTTTCTGTTTGATGCGATTGTGATAGCGGATCTTGACCTGGCCGGACCGGAGTGGAGCCTGAACATTTAGAGGATGTTTGGCTCAACCTGCAGGTTTAAAGCCTTGCAGCGCAGCCTAAAGCCCACTGCTCTCATTGAGACAGAAAAAAAGAAAATAACAAGCGCTTAGTTCAGGTGTTTATAAATACGTGAATCAGGAAATATCTATATACCAAACTGAAAGATTATAGTTCTCTACTTCAAAAAACACATTAGATTTTAAAATGAAAAAATATATTTTTTTATATATATATATATTTTTTTTTTTATTAAAAATTTATTGTATAACATGAATGTATAAACACCTCATTTTGTTTCAGTGTTAAATTCTGTTAAAAGTAACAGATCATAAAAATGTCTCTGGACCTTTACTGGTTGATGATTTTCTTTATTCGGACACGCTGATTTTAAATTCGTTACCTCTGGTTTAATGTTTCTAAATATTTATTTCCCGTCATGTGCTCCATCCAATGCAGATCATTGGCTCCATCCACATCTAGTGAAAACTAGTGTGATTGGATGAGTCATATAACGCAAACACTCATTGGTTAGCTAAAGGAAATCATCAGAAGCAAGCAGGTGTTCTTCAAACTGCTAACGTGAATTGTCTATGCCATGCTACAATGTGGGATTCAGAAAAAGATGTTGAAATGTCTGAAAGGTCGGACACAGGCGAGAGCGTATCGGGAGATGGAGATCAACAAGACCTCCCTCATCCTTGGCCCTATCTCAAATAACTTTTAGAAATAGTCTAAAAATTGAGCTTTCAATTCATATAGTGGCTTCTGGCTGTTTTTTTAAAGGTTACTTTTATACTTTAACTAGTTTTGGGAGCACATACTTTTTCACTTTTACTTGAGTAAAGAGGTCAAGTTTATACTTTAACTTTTACCAGAGTGTTTTTAAACTGCAGTATCTATACTTCTACTGAAGTAACACGTGTGAACTTTTGTCACCACTGAGTCTGAGTGAGATGAAAATCAAAACATCAAATATTAGTTTGACTTCCAAAGAGTTTCTCACTGCTTTCTACAAAAATCTCTGACTAATGTCTGCTGCTGGGAAGAGATTTACTTCTGATAGCTTTTACTTATAATTCCACTTCAAAGGGTAAACTACCTTAACTTTGTTTAGAGTCTTAGATATAAATGAATAATCCTGTTGTTCTGTTTTTTTAGGAAAAGTGGTGGGCAAAGACTGCACGGCTGGGTCAGGAACACGCTGCATTCCCTGTGAGACTGGAACCTACATGAACAAACCCAACGGTCTGCCCAGTTGTTTCTCCTGCTCCTCCTGTAATTCAGGTACAGAAAGTTTACAGAGAAACTAAAAAAACAGGACTTTAACTGCATCTGAAATAATGATAATGAGTGTTTTCATCTTCCAGGCCCTGGACTCTTTATCAAGCAGAACTGCACGTCTAAATCAGACACAGTCTGTGATGTTATAGGCGGATATTTCTGTAAAAGCTGGACAGACAGTGCAGGATGCAGCAAAGCAGAGAAACATTCAGCCTGTAAACCTGGACAGAGAATAAAGCTTCCTGGTGAGACTGAATTCATGAAATTACAGCTTTTTAAATGCTGAATAACTGCTGATGTGTTTCTGGGTAAAACTGTTTTTTCAGGGACCAGCAGAAATGATACTGTGTGTGAAAAATGCGAAGAAGGAACCTTTTCTCCACATGGATTGAACTGCACTCAGTGGACACAGTAAGATAATGACACCTTTCAGGTCTTCCTTTCATTATAACTGGAAGAAAGACCTGAAAATTGAGGGGTTTGACACTGATCCCCCAATAAGACTCCTTGAATAATCTGGGTAGATAGAAACTAACACAGCAGAAGACCTGAGGAAAAAATTTTGTTTATCATTTAATGCACAAAAGCAGACATCCCAAGTTCCAAAAACTAATTTCAGGGAGATGCTTATTGAACCGCCCACCCCCCAACCCCCTGCCCTCGCCATAGACAAGCGACCCGCACGGTGCGGGCTGCACCCATTGGCCTCGGCAGACCCTTTTCAAAGGTACCCACGAACCACATTGCAGATCTGTGGTGCCTGGGTATCCCTGGGGCACTGATAATATCGGACCATGCAGAACACAGATTTATCTTCACAAAGCTTTAGAAGGGCAAGATTTATGTACAAAGTGTAAAGCTGTTCATGGAATTTTGTTTTGTTTTTATAATTTTTTTGTTCTTCGCATATATACAAATATACTGGTGTGATAACTTAGTATATATATATTTATATTTATATATACTTGACTGGGTTTTGGTATACGTCTATTTTGAATTTATAGCCCACCGCTGCATGGGGCCGTCCTCCATATCTTACCTTCAGGGGCCTTCCTCAGTCGCTGCAGAAGGCAGGCTGCACTACTAAGCAGGATGTAAAGGCTTCTCCTCCCAGAATCATATCTGAGCTGCTATTGCAGCAGCTTCATGTTGCGTTCACTGTCCGTCCCTGTAGAGGATTTCCCAGTTGTTTGCCACTGTTTGAAACTGTTGAGCACAAACCTCTGCAGTGACATCATTCTGGTTTCATTAAGGTTAAAGGAAATCATTTATAATCCCCAGTTCCAGTGAGGTGATGGGCCGTCACACTTTGCTCACTGAGGTTTAGATGTTTACTGTAAGCAACGTCTCTCCTGCAGTGTGAGCTGACCACAGCATGTTTGCTGACTGTTATAGTTGGAAGTTTATTTAAAAATCAGTCCCTGCAAACGGCCTCTTTGGACTCTGGCTTAGGTCAGCCATGTTGTTAAATCAACAGAGACTGAATGTGGCAGTGGTTGACATGTGGATAATGTCATGATTTTATCTAAAGCTCGGACCCACATGCAGAGAAAGCAATTCAGAGAGACACCGGGGGAAAGGTTTAACAGGTTTATTGAAGAGATAAGGCACGGTGCAGAGTTGCTCTGAACTCAGCTCGACCGGAACTGGAAGGTGAAGGGAAGACAAACGATTAGTTCAGGCTTAGTGGGAAATTTCATCCGTGGATTTGAAGCAGAGGATCTGGTTGTTGACTTACGTTTCCAGAGAAGTTGTAGGATCTTTGACTCCAAACTGTGTGCTGTTTTCCAGTGTTATTCTGATTCGGTGGAGGGCGGAACAGGGTTTACCCAGAACCCGGATGGTTGTTGGTGAACGGAGAGACTGACTGCCACTCAGATTTCCTGCGGTACTTGAACGGGTCGTAGTGGAGATGATTCCCTTGCTCAGAGAGTAAATTCAACGTCCTCTCAAGGAAACAGGATCCAAACCATCAGTTTGAATCCAGAGCTCGGTTTGAGGCTCAGTTGATCCCTCCATGGAGAGAAGGTCCGAAAAGGTCCAGTTTGCAGGATGACTTCCTGCCAAGAGGCAAAGACAAAAACGAAGTTAAAACTCAGGGAGACAAGAACTCAGTCTTACTCAGCAAAAACTCAGCTTGGCTAGGGTACCCAAAACTGGTAAACACTCTGGCGTTGAGGTAGGGGCAATCAGCAGCTTAAGAGCACTCCGTTAACGAGGAAACCATCATCAGGTGTTGAGGAGGCGGACCAGAACCAGGCGCCTCCTGCTGGTGGAAGGAGAACAACACAGAAAACAAACACACAGACTGGAGTCCTGACAGATAACACAGACAGGTTTTCTCTGAAAGTTTATATCCATCTATTAACTTGATCATTTTAACATTTGTAATGAAGACATTAATATCTAATGCCTAGAATCTTTGGTTTAATTTTAAATTTAAATTAAATGACAGTTTTCAGGAACTAATCTGTAATTAATTCAGATAACAGAAGCATCCTGCTGATTCCTGCATCCTCTGATGGAGTCTGAGGGATCAACATAGATCTCCTCAGGCTCCTGATCATGTCTCTGCATCAGGAATCTCAGTCAGACTGTCTTCATAACCATCAGCTGCAGTTGGATAAAGATCATAATAGAATTGGTTTCTATGCAACAGGCTGTTAGCTTCTTTTAGCTCAGACTTTCTTTAAGGCAGAGCATGAATTTGTTGAGAGGCTAAAATGTTTTTCTTTTTTCTTTTGCAGATGCTCTGAAAGCCAAACTAAGGTCCAAGAAGGAAGCTCAACGAGGGACGTCGTCTGCAGTAATAGATCAATGCGACACAGATATACTTTGCTTGCGCCTTTTCTTGGCCTAGCAGTTGCAATTGGTTTGCTAGTCACAGGTGTGTGATTATTTGACAGTTTGATTTCACTTTGAAAACTAATAATAACCTTTTTAATATCTTACCTGATCTAGTAAAGTATACATTTACACATGTATACTTAACATGTATTTTTCTAACCATTGCATCTTTTTATGTTTGGTGCATCATGGATGAATTTTTGATGCCATCCTAGGATATAAAATACACAGATAATCTTCCATAAACACAGATGAATGATACGAAGTCCAGGAGGTAAGCAAAGACCACCTTCAGTTTTACTGTGGGGTCCATTCCACAGAACCTGGTCTAGAGAGAATATTTAGACCCTTGAAGGTTTTATTGTTTATTCCCAGAGTCTCCTGAGGACTGAGCTCAACTGGGAACCAGGGACCAAACTAACCCAACAGTGTTCAGACCAAACCAGCCCGGTACCACCATGATCATTGAAGCTGATTCTGGTCCCTCTCACAGTCTGGACCAAGATCTCCTGGAAAGTTAATCTCCTCTCCATAAAACTTTTCAGCAGAAGGAAACATGAAGTGATCTAAAATGTCCCGGTAGAAGACTGGTTTACTGTGGACTCCAGAAAACCCAATGGAGCAAAACCAGCAAATGAAGTGAAACCTGAAACATTACTGAATGTGGAAACTTCACCCTGGATTCTGATACTTAACGCTATACCCTCTGATTCAGAAACCTTGATTACCAAATTAAATGAAAAGTCTTCTTTCATCAAACGCCGCTTTCCCACTGAAAACCTGAGTTTTTCTACAAACCGGGTTGAAACCCTAACATCAGCCTCTGACTCTTTTCCCATTTGACTGAAAAACAGAGTCTGACCCCCTGCTGGCAGCTGTGTGGCCACTCCCCCCCACCACTGTGTGTCTGATGACAGCATCACACTGGGTGAGCTTTAATGATGTTGATAGTGTGACAGAAATCAGGGAGCAACATGTACAGGAGCCAGAGCGTAGTCAGCTTTCTTTATTATTTCGCTATTTTGAAAGTCCAATCCCTCTGAAATGCTGCTCAATGTTTATCAAATGTAATCATGAGTTAATTTTTCTTCTAAGATCAGTCGCGACTGCCGTGGTAATGGTGTTCAATGGTATCACGTCAAGCCAGCATGCTGTTCCCACAGCATGCCTATCAGAGCCGAGGCCGTTTTAACGCGGGTCACTTGCAGAGTCGTTTGACTCGGGTAGAAATGCATCAGTAAGCTGTTGCCGCTGCCACTAAAAGCCAATCGGTTCCGGGTTTTAACAGGGTTTTCAGCCAGTGTGAAATGTCACTTCACTTCAATTCAATTCAGTTTATTTCTATAGCTCCAATTCACAACACAAGTCATCTCAGGGCACTTTAGTTCACCAGATCATCCTGTCAGATGGATTCAAAACTTTCTATCTGATTTCCAGCTGATTGCATCGACTGATTGACTTGAATGCAATAAGTGAACAGTGACAGTGGAGAGGAAAAACTCCCTTTGAACAGGAAGAAACCTCCAGCAGAACCAGGCTCAGTGTGAGCGGCCATCTGCTGAGGCCCACTGGGGTTCAAGGAGGCAGAAGAAGACATACAATAAGCAGCTGTAAAACGCGACGCCGTCCAGGAAACACAGCCAGGCAGACGAGCTCCAAGGCAGCTCCCATGCCAGAGGACGAAGAGAGCATATCCAGTTAGTCACAGTCAGAGAAACAGGACTACACTGAAAAACAGGCCAATCACCAACATCTAGAAACAAAGGTGTTGATGGCAGCAGCACAGGTGATATTTCTCTCCAGGATGGAGTCACAGCCAAACAGGAACAGACCAGATGTGTCATGGTTTTGGTTATATTGTGCTTTACTTTGCTCCATGTTTCCTAGTTTTATTGGTTCTAGATTTGTTAGTTCTCATGTTTTTCTGTTGTCCTCTGTTGCCCCCTTGTGTGTGTGTGTGTGTGTGTGTGTGTGTGTGTGTGTGTGTGTGTGTGTGTGTTCCTTTCCCCTTGGCTCCCTCGTTGTCTCCTCTCACACCTGCTCCTTGTCAGCTCGTTAGCCCTCCCTTTGTCTGTCAGCTACATATACTCTCCCTCTGCAGTCACTCTTTGTTGGTTCCTTGTTGTTGCTGTTCCTGTCGTCGCCGTTGTCCTTTCACTTCGTCTCTCCCTGGCTCCTTGTGCGTGTTTTCTCTTGATGTCTTCATGGTTCTGGTCTGTTACATTTTTTGTTGGATTTTTGGATTCCTGCTTTGTTAACCATATTCATCATTAAAAACTACAAGAATTCACCTCAGCTTCTCTGCCTCTGCATTTGGGTCCTCAAAACCACAACCAAGACGTGACAAGATGAAGCTACAGTCATGGCCAAAAGTATTGAGAATGACACAAATATTATATTTTCACATGATCTGCTGCCCTCTGGTTTTCATGTCAGATGTTGTCGTCTCATACAGAAACACAATTGCAATCACATTATGAGTAACAAAAGCTTTTAATGACAGAATGAGTTCATGCTGCAAGTCAATATTTGCAGTGTTGACTCCTCTTCTTCAGGACCTCTGCAATTCTCCCTGGCTGCTCTCAATCAACTTCTGGACCAGTTCCTGACTGATAGCGTCCATTCTTTCACAATCAATGCTTGCATTTTGTCAGAATTCCTAGGTTTTCGTTTGTCCACCCGTCTCTTGATGATTGACCACAACTTTTCAATGGGATTAAGATTAGGGGAGTTTCCAGGCCATGGACCCAAAATCTCTCTGTTTTGTTCCCTGAGCCAGTTAGATATCACCTTTGCTTTATGGCAAGGTGCTCCATCACGCTGGAAAAGGCATTGGAGCCCCGCCATGGTATTTGTTAGTTCAATCTCTAACTGGATGTGCTCTCTTCATCCTCTGACATGGGAGCTGGCTCGGAGCTTGTCTGCCTGGCTGTGTGTTTCCTGGACGGGGCCGCCTGTGGAGCTGGTTGACAGTTGCCTTTTGTATCTATGCTTCTTTTTCTATGTCTGCTTCTGTCTCCTTGAACCTCAGTCGGCCTCAGCAGATGGCCGCTCACACTGAGCCTGGTTCTGGTTCTGCTGGAGGTTCCTTCCTTTTTGAACGAAGTTAGATAGAAAGTTTTGAACCAATCTGACTGTATGATCTTTATATTAGTCTCTGTGAGGTGCCCTGAGATAACGTGTTATGAATTGCTGCTATATAAATAATTGAATTGACCTATTTTTACTTTCACTATTGTTAAAGGTAAGCTCTGTGTCTAAACAATGAAGCTTTATCTCTCCGGTTCGCTTTCCTAAAAAGAGATCACTTAGGAAAAAATCTTTAAATAACACTTAATAATGTTTATTTATTAAATAACCAAGAGACATGACAGCAGATTTTGATAAGAATTAGAATCTTACTCAGATCAGAGAAACTGCTTAGAGTTACAGAAGGCAGCATAGCATAGACAATTCAAGTTTGCAGTTTGAAGAGTCCAGAGGCTGGGAGATGAAAACACTCATTATCATTATTTCAGATGCAGTTAAAGTCCTGTTTTTTTAGTTTCTCTGTAAACTTTCTGTACCTGAATCACAGGAGGAGCAGGAGAAACAACTGGTCAGGCCGTTGGGTTTGTTCATGTAGGTTCCAGTCTCACAGGGAATGCAGCATGTTCCTGACCCAGCCGTGCAGTCTTTGCCCACCACTTTTCCTACAAAAACACAACAGGATTATTCATTTATATCTAAGACTCTAAGCAAAGTTAAGGTAGTTTACCTTTTGAATTGGAATTATAAGTAAAAGCTATCAGAAGTAAATCTCTTCCCAGCAGCAGACATTAGTCAGAGATTTTTGTAGAAAGCAGTGAGAAACTCTTTGGAAGTCAAACTAATATCTGATGTTTTGATTTTCATCTCACTCAGACTCAGTGGTGACAAAAGTACACACATTTGCTACTTCAGTAGAAGTATAGATACTGCAGTTTAAAAACACTCTAGTAAAAGTTGAAGTATCAACTTGACCTACTTGGTAATTACTTAAAGTATAAAAGTATAAAGTAACCTTAAAAAAAAAAAAACAGCTAGATGCCACTAGATGAACTGAAAGCTCAATTTTTCGACTATTTCTAAAAACTCTTTGAGATAGAGCCAAGGATGAGGGAGGTCTTGTTGGTCTCCATCTCCCGATACGCTCTCGCCTGTGTCCGACCTTTCAGACATTTCAACATCTTTTTCTGAATCCCACATTGTAGCATGGCATAGACAATTCACGTTAGCAGTTTGAAGAATACCTGCTTGCTTCTGATGGTTTCCTTTAGCTAACCAATGAGTGTTTGCGTTCTATGACTCATCCAATCACACTAGTTTTCACTAGATGTGGATGGAGCCAATGATCTGCATTGGATGGAGCACATGACTGGAAATAAATATTTAGAAACATTAAACCAGGGGTAACCAATTGAAAATCAGCGGGGTCCGAATAAAGAAAATCAACCACCAGTAAAGGTCCAGAGACATTTTAATGATCTGTTACTTTAAACAGAATTAAACACTAAAATAAAACGAGGTGTTTATACATTCATGTTATACATTGAATTTTTAAATAAAAAATAAACAGAAATTGCAACCCGTTCTAATTTAGAGGAATTGACACTGTATTGCTGTATATCCATCAGCAGTTAAAGGACGAGGGTCAGCAAATGCTAATTCTGCCTGTAAAACAATGACAGCACAATTGTCCCTGTATAATGTGAAGCCTGAATGCACCTTAGCTATCTGACGCTCGTGAATGCATCACACTGGTCTGTGAACGCTGTGCTGTGTAGATATGCGTTTGATTTCCCGCTTAAGACAAAGCTTTGCAGTTTCCAAACTCCCGTTGGCATCACTGTTTATTGTTGTGTGTGAATAACAAGAGACTACAACAAATAAATCAGCCGTACCTCAGAAAACATCTTTGGATTTAATGTTGTTCATAAAACCCGTACTTTTGTAAATGAATCTGCCAAATAACCACAATTTTTTTCTGACGAGAGGAATATTTAAATGTTTTTATATCATTAATATAACAACAACGAGTTTTAATCATTTTCCTCGTCGAAAGTCACAGTTGTACAGAGCGAGGTGCGACTGGGAATGCATGTCTCGGCAGGGATGCGCTTTTCGGCATAACACCCGCCGCGGTCCGCTAATCCGTAAGCTCTGCCTTAAACCGAAGCCAAGAGTAACGAGTAACGTTCGTTTTAAAAACGTAAGGAATAGAAAGTACAGATACTTGTGTGAAAATGTAACTAGTAAAAGTAGGAAGTAGGACGAAAAATAAGTAATGGAGTAAAGTGTAGATGCCTAAAAAGTGTACTTAAGTACAGTAACGAAGTATTTGTACTTCGTTACTTGACACCTCTGCTACTGAAGCACTGGTGTAACTTTCTGAAGGACTGGTGTGGACATGTCCCCACCCACTTTGAAATGGGTGGGGTCAGTCCCCACCAATAATTTGTACATTTATGTTCGGCTCATTTACTTTAGCCATCAACAGTAACCTCAGGAAACGCCCGGCTGTGTGTGTTCTGAGAGTTTTCAGTCAGCTTTTCCGTCTTGCTATTCCGCTGCTCCTGAGTCCCGCCTACTGATGTTACATCATTGGATCCTATGTCCATGGCTCCATGTCTGTCACTTTATGATAGAACATGATTGGCTGTCGCTATTCACAGCGTCATCAGTAGCTACGTGATTGGAGGAGAGACGACACACAGTAGCACTCATTAATATTAACCAGCAGCTACTTCAGGTTTTATTTTGAATAAGAAAGTAGCAGACAGGTTGGTTTAAAAATAAAAGATGCCACTGAAAAAGTCGTCAGACATACAGAGCTTTTTCAATAAAAAAAAGCAACGGGGTATAAGTAGCCTTGAAATTAGTATTGAAATGCAATAAGTTTGACAAAAGCAGGTGTTTTAATAGTGTGTTCTTTGCTAGTTAAAAAAAAAGCAAAACATCTGTTTTTTTTTCAGTTACAGTTTTTTTCCTGTTTTTATTTGTTATTAATGTTGCTGATGTTTCTGAGCGTTACAAAAGAGCCACTTAAAGGAACCAGCCTATCTGTACATTATAATATTTTTATTTTGTTACTGTTGCGTTCTCAGCAATATGAAAGCGCTGAATAAATGTATGTCGATGTAGTTTGTGTTTTGGCTAATTTTTAGCTAAATACAACAACTTAACAAAAGCCTTTAAATCCTGTAACTGCAGGTTCATGCAGGCTTTAGGCTGCCCTGCAAGGCTTTAAACCTGGGTTTGAATGGAGACTAAGCCATTCTCAAGCACATATCAAGGTGCTTATTTTGAGCCTGGATCCAGATTTATTTTTGATTCTGTTCATGGTGGAGAATCCTGCTTCACAGCAGCAGGTTGAGCCAAACATCCTCTAAATGTTGAGGCTCCGCTCCAGTCCAGCCAGGTCAAGATCCGTTATTACAATCGCATAAAACAGGAAAAAGAATGGCGAGAAGATCTGGTTTGTCAAATTA